AAGAAAGAAAGAAAGAAAGAAAGAAAGAAAGAAAGAAAGAAAGAAAGAAAGAAAGAAAGAGTATATGTAGTGTTTGAAACTGTTCTGGTTTTAGGAATCTCCTGACAGGTCTTAGAATGTATTCCTCACAGATAAGGGAAGATGATTAAACAAAAAGGAATCAAAATGATGAATGTCCATACCAGAGCTTCACATTCTTTCCCCCTTGCTAAGCCTCTTGGTAGCTGCACTTGAGCTTAAGTCCTATAATCTAAAACATAGACTTTTACAGTTAAATTTGAGAGGGATCCTCCTAGGGCAATGGAGTAACTACATGACAGGATTCACATTAGTGTTTTCCTTCTCTGAGACAACTCTTCTGTACCCACTGATTGGGTCTTGTACTTAATATACTAATATTGTCATAAATTAATGAAAACATTGAGCTTAAAGCAGTGAGTTTTTCTTAAAGGGAAGGAAACACTATACTCCTGATTGAATCTTTGGTCATAAGCTATTTTTTCTTTTGTGAAATAATGCTTTATTTCTATTTCAGGATCTTTTCTTTAAAAGTAAAATGAAGACAGCATGTGAAGTGCTCTAGAATGAACATTGTGCATTAGAGTGGCTTTGCGTTGAGCCAAAATGACTTTTGTCCCCTGCCGCTCTGAGTGACCAGATGTGGGTTGTCATTTGCATATTGTTACCTCAGGCAAAGCAGGTGGCCACAGCTGAGACGGACCCTCAATCAGCCAACAGCTACGTCCTTAGCTGGACAATGAGCTGAGCCATGCAGGTCCTGATGGACTGCTCTCACCCCCCTGCTGCAGGCAGCAGCTCCTCCAGGATTCCAGGGCACCTCCCATCCTAAGGAGAACAAAAGAGAGCATAGAGAGATGAGTGACAACCCGTGCAGCTGCAAGCTCTGAAGTGGGGCAGAGAGTGAGATCTGTGAGCACCTTAATAATGATCCCATTTGTTTTACTACAAAGTGGGTCCCATCATTTGACACAATACTATCTAGGGTCCTGGCTGGAAAATGTCTTAGAAGTCCTGGAACTTCCTGAACCTTACCACCAAAGAGATCATCCTCAGGGCACAGTGTAATTTTGGCTTTTTAACTTTTAGGCTAAGCTTTCAGTGGTGGCATCAGCTACTCTGGTTCAGCGAGGGGGAGCACATCTGATGCAGGTATCTTCACATCTGTTTTCACATCTGTCTTCGCATCTGTCTTCATGGCCACACTCCTCTTGTGTTCATTATACCAACACTGAATTGTTCTACAGCAGATGAAAATGGACCAAGATATTTGTGTACTGGGCAGTTGAGTGACTCTTCAGTGGTGTGAGCTCTCTAGTGGGCTTTGAGATTTTCACACACTGTGCCCACTTCCTTGTGTCCAAACAGATGCCTCAGCCCCACAACTTCCTGAATTATCCAGTCTACTTTCTTCTAGAGCCTATCTCATCTAGCCAACCCATCTACCACTGCCCAGGAATCAGTATATATTCTAATTTCAGAACATTTCTCCTGCCCACAAAGTGGACAAGCTGTTCTTTGGAAGAATTTGTTTTTTATACTTTAAGTGTTATCCTTGGGTGAATTTTGATGAGGTTGTGGTCTGTGAAGAGACCCCTCGCATCTGTGTCAACTCAAATAAGCTCCTCTTCAGTTTATTCTTTGCTATTCTGTGACAGACAGACTGTTCCTGGGCTCATCTAATCTTATAACTTGACGGCTCTTATAGGAACCAGATAATGCTGAGAAGTTGTGGATTTATGGTCACTCAGGAACCTTTGCTTGAGAGTTTTCATCTCCATCAGGGACTAATCAGAAATAATTCACAAAAGGTGTATACCATTTTCTAGATAGACCCCAGAGCCCTACGTTGTAGTTCACAATGAAATTAACTCCAGGAAATATGAGAAACATGTATCCAATACCTGGGTATGTGTAGGAGCAAGACAGGGAACAAAATGCAGGCAAAGAAGGATTAAAAAAAATAATAATAAGTACTAGGATTGCAGATAACTGATAGGTAATTCTGTTGGAGGTTGTTATGGTCTGTGTCTACTTGTGCCCCCAAAGCCTCTTGCAGTCACTGGGGTGGGCTTCTGGAGTCTGTGATCAATTCATGATAAAATGCTAGGATTACGGGCGTGAGTGCTACACCTGCCCTGGGGTGGGTAATCTGCACAAAATGTAAGGGAGGGAGAAAGACTTGCTAGCTGCCGCAGCTGCTGCTCCTCCCTTTGCTCTTTGCTATTTTCTACCACCATGAACAACTTCTTTCTGCCATGTGCCACTCTGCCTGGGAGCCAGGCGAGTATAGACTGAAAGCTCCCCTAACAGTGAGCTAAATAAACCTTTCCTTCCTTAATTTTGGGTGTCAGGTGTTTTGTCCCAGCAATGAGAAAAAAGAAGAGTAGTTGAGAGGGAGATCTATGAAATGTATCATGTATGAAATGTATCATTCAGGTTCACCCCATCTCAGAAATGAGAAAGTGAGATGATTTGTATAACAACCCTTGCCAGTGATTGAAGGCTGCTTTGACATATGGCACGAATTCTCCACCCCATCTAACCCGTCTTGCAGATGGCAAAGTAAGCTTTGAAATGGGAAGCAAATCCTTACCCAAGGAAATGCCTAGGTTCTTTTTTTGTTGTTGAAATGCAGTAAGCAGGTAAAGGTGAGTGGAAGCCTGCAGAACGCCATCAGCCTGCAGTAGAGTCTTCCCTTTATCACCTCTTTAGGATGCCTATTCAGCTGCTCCTTTCTGCAGAGGGTCACTCTAGTTTCTTAAGCTGACAATGCTTAATGACATCCTTTGACTCATGGAGAAGACAGTTTCTTTGCTTAATCGTTTTTCATTGGTGAGGTGTGCTCATAGCAGGTGGTCTAAAGAATGGTTTCTGTGTTTACAACACACCCAATGGGGATTCAGGGTCCCTGTGACAAGGCACACAAAACTGTGACTTCCCTTGGAGCAAACGTCCTGCCCTTGTGTTCTACATACTTGCATGTGGCTTCTGGGTAGTACCAATGGGACAAGGCTCAGTAATGGGGAAGTTCCAACACTCACTGGGAGCGTCCACGTTTAGAGCCTGTCCAGCATGTCCAAGGGTGATCTACTGGTATCCCTAGAAGTAAAGACTTTCAATTTCTATTTTAAACAAATAAAAATAACAACCGCCACCACCACCACCACAACAACAATAACAGCAATAGTTTTCATTAGCTAAAATATATCCTAAACTGTCCCATTTCACATTGGGCATTGGAAAGCAAAGTGGAAAGCTGTGGATCAGAGTCACATGTTAATTTTCCAGATGGATGCTTATTGTATATGCCAGCCAAGTTGAGAGAGCAAGAAAGTAAAATGGCTAAAGCTCTGAAATGTAAACGGCTCAACTGTCATAATTTGATCATTAATGCTGAGAGGAAAAATAAGACTTTAGAGCAATTTCAGGTTTATTGTAGTAAATCCAATGCTATGATATTTTGAATAAAGTAGGGTTTTGTTCATAAATATTACTGAACCTGCCACTCTAAGCAAGTAGTTTCATCAATAGAAAGTATTGCTTAATAATTAAATGGAACCATGATAACTTATTATACAAAACCATTACTTATTTTGAGAAAGAGAAAAATATACCTTGATTCTCAGGGCAACATTCAATAATAAAAGATACTAGCTTTTGTTGTCACTTGTTTCCAAGGTGTGCTGAAGGTCCTCAAGTCTTTCTAAGGTAAGTATGCTGTAAAAATTTAATGAACCTAGAAAAACAATTCTTAAGAGCATGCCTAAATGTATCAACTTCCTCTTTTTGTAATGAATTTTATATTATACTTTTGCTTTCATTTTATGCATGAAATGTAAGGATATTTGCTTAATGTTTTAAATTTTGCTTTGTAACATGTAAAATTTATACCAAGTAGCTGCATGGAAGACTTCTGTCCAGACAAGACAGATGCTGCTGCAGAGGACCCAAGGGCGTCAAGGGGAATGTCAGACAGCTCTATGTCCAAAAACCAAGCATGAGAGGCAAGAAGGAAGAATATCCATTTTTTTTTCTGTTAAATAAAGCATTCAGTTCCAAAAATAAGGAATTCATCAGAAAATTCTAAAACCTCTCTTCCACTGGATGACTTTATGCTGTCCGCTCTTACTCTGAAACTCTCCTTCCGAGGACTCCAGGAAGGCTGGCAACAACCTGGAGAGAGAAAGGAGTATCTGCTGGTTGGAGCTCCAGTTCTCGATGCGTGTGGATGCTGAGGACCTTCGTGCTATCCTGTTATGGTTTGGGGAAAGGAGTTAGTAGCCTCAGCATCCAAAGAGAGCGACACCAGAGGAAATGCTAACCTCAAGTACTTTCTGTTTTTTCTTTTTGCTGTATATTTTAGGGAAGGGTCTACCGGGTGTTCAGGGTTTCACTACTACATCAGACTCATAGTGATCCTCCTGTTTTCAGCTTCCCAAGAGCTGGGATTACAGGCGCACGCCTCCACGCCCAGTATCAATCACCAGCTCAGCACTCCCCAGGGGCGGGCCCAGCACAGCAGGCCCGGGGATCCATCCCCAGCCCCTGGGCCTACTTGCAGGCGCTTTAATCTGGTGAGCTATTTGGCCAACCCTTCAAGTACCTTCTACTGTATTGTTTTTTATTTTCATATTTTGTACTTAAACGTGAAGACAAACAAAGAAAAGCAATAGTGGAATAAGGCAAGAGAAAAATAAAAGTACAGGTTGGAATATTAGTATTATTATTGTTGTTTCTTTCAGTGCTTTGCGTGTGTCACCCTCTGCAACATTCAAAACCAGCAGTGTATCACTTTCTAATCTTTCTCTCTAGCTCTGATCTGCCCAACCCCCTTTTATAATGATCCTGGTGATTATATTGATTCTATATAGAGAATCGAGGATAATTTTTTCATTTTAAAATGCTTAATTTAATTGCACCTACATAGTCCCTTTTGCTATGTAATGTAACTTTTTTGCAGGTTTCAAGAATGTGACTGTGACCAACTCCAGTGGGAAGGAGATTATTCTTTCTGCCTCATGTAGAGATATTACACTATATCATTCTTCGAGTAATTACAGTATTCCTGCATTTGTAATCAAAAGAAAACATAAAATAGGAATAACAATATAATTACCCTGTGTAGTGTTTAATAAATTGCAGGTGCTTTAAAGAGATTTAGAATATTGACAACACCTCCACAGAGTCAGGTTGCAACATGCTTTTTATGAATAAAGAGCCTTAAACTCATGGATTAAGAGTGCTACACATTTAGTATATGTCATTGTTATGGTTTGAGTCTAAGTGTCCCCCCTCCAAAGTGTCATGCAGTCATGGGACAGCTTCTAGAGTTTGTGATTAATTCATGATCTAATGCTGGGATTATGGGTATAAGTGCTGCTGGGATTATGGGTGTGAGTGCTACACTCAGCCTGGGGCAGCTAGCCTGAATGCAACATAAAGGAGCCAGACTTGCTCTCTGTAGCCATTGTTGCCGCTGCTCCTCCCTTTTGCTCTTGCTGTTTTGTTATTTTCCACCGCCATGAACTGCGGCCCTCTGCCCTGTGACAGTCTGCCTTGGAGCCAACTGGGTATGGACTGAAACCTCCACAAACTGTGAGCTAAATAAACCTTTCCTTCCTTAATTTTGGGTATTAGGTGTTTTCTCTCAGCAATGAGAGAAAGTTAACTAAGTCACCTATTTTTAGAAAAAGTCAGGCTTCAATTTTAGCCTAAGCTTTTTCTGTAATCTTTAAACCAGCATTCTTTCCATCCTTTGTGGCTTATCTTTTTTCATGGTCACTGGGTCCTTGCTGCCTCTCTCTTGTGCAGCAGTAGGACTTGTCAGGGGGCTGTGCTTATGCTCGCTCAAGAATGACTGCCTGGTCTTCATAACTGTAGTCTTTGCCCCAGAGCTGAGTCCTGCCACTGTCTGTATAACTTCTCTCCACCACAGTTTCTGGTTTTGGTGTGAAGGGAGGGTAGGGGGACACTGGGCAGAGAACAGATAGTGTGCTCTTAGATCTTACCTATATATTGCACATATAAAATATAGGACAGATCCCTTTAAGGTAAAGGACAAATGACACTTGTAAGCGTTCTTTGAGGCACAAGCTCTGAGTTTTGGAGCTGGGAGCATGAATTTAAATCCTGTCTTGGTCACCGTGTTACATGATTCCTTTTTTAGATCCAAGGCAGATTTCCATTTTTTAAAAGGAAGTAAATTATCATAGTGAAGTGTACATGAAAATAATTTTGAAATCACAAGTCTGAGTTGGCTGCCTCTCTACTTATTTCATGGCTTCCTTTTAAGAATCAAGTTAATTAATAATCTGTGTTCTAGAAGTTACCCCTAGGTGACTGACTCAGGACTCCCAACCAATCATCCATGTTCCATGAATTTCCTTCTATTCTTGTAACTACCCATGTTTCCCTCCACCTTAGAGGGCTCATATCCATTGCTGTTGCTGTTTGGCAACAGCAGTTATCTCTTTCCCTTATGCATCTTATTGCCTCTTACATGCCCTCCAGACTCAGCATGAACATCCTCACTCCTCTCCACTTGCTAATAGTCCACAAGTCCTTTCCCTTCAGTCCCCAGAAAGGTGTTCATTTTCCCTGTTGTTAACCATCACTCATCCTTACACATTCAACTTGAAATCCAGCTCCCAAACTCCTTTGGTCTGGTGACATCTCTTTATTCCACTGTGCTTCTCCTTACTGCTTTCTCTTGTCTAACTCCCCCACTAGGATGTGTACTCCTGAATGATGAAATGTTGCTTAGTTGTTTTCCTAGCACGGTGCCTCGGCAAGTACTAGGGTGCTCGGTTAATCTGAATAAGCGTTGTATAACACACTTAGCATCCGCCAGAGAAGTTAAGCACTCGATTAATCATGTCTCGTAGATGATGGATCTTTCTGTGTGATTAACAAGATGAACAAATTCCTGACATATTAGTCTTGCAATTATGCATTCTGAAAAATACTTCTTAGGTACTCATTCTGACAAGCTTCTTCATTAAACATGGCATCAGTTGAAATCGTAATTGAAAAGTACTTCCACATCCCAAGAGCTTATCAGGAGTGAAAAGAGCATAAGTAAAAGGACAACTTTAATTTGAAATAATGTTCACGATGAATCATAACTGAAGTTCCCCCCAGAAAATCATGGAGAAATTAAAAGGAAGAAAGAAAATAGTGGACCCAGGAGTGATTGAGAAATGGTTAAATGAAAGATTTAGGTCCTTTGGATGAATAGAAATTTCAGGAAGCCAAGTAAGCATGGTTATGAGTGGAATGTCTTAGAAAAACAATAAGGAATCTAGAGAGGAACATATGACATACAATACAACATAAACAAATGGCATTAATTTGCCAAGTGATTGTTCTATAAATAAAATGCACAAAATTTGGTAGCAGGTTACTCATTAGAATGAGTCAGTCACATAGAGAAAAATTACCCAGAACTATTACCATATTATATAACTATGTCTCTCCTCTGAACAAATACGTGCAGTATTTTGAGAGAAATGTATACTTCACATTTTATCTTTCATGCATAGAGTGCTGAATACTTCTGATGTTTTTAAGAAAGAAGAACTCAGCAAATGTATCTTGGATAGCTTCGGGTTCTGTGGTAGATTACATATGGCCACACAGTTCTTTGACATTTCTTTCACAAAGTTCTAAGGAATCCTGTTCCTGCTCTTTGAATCTAGGAGGCTTCTTTTATTGGTTTTGTTGGCAGACTATGGAACAAAGGATGTCACTTCTGTTTCTGGTCTCAGGTCCTGCGAAGTTAACAACTTCCACTTCTTGTTTGCTCGAGGAGCCAGCCCCCGAGTAAGAAGCCCAGATGCTGGGAGCATCATTGCGTGAGGAAGCTGAAGCTGGATGCCCGCTTGGGCAGAGAGGGCGGGCTAGCCCAGAATCTGTGGCCACTGCAGACCAAGCTCCAGACATGGGAGTGGAAACAGCATCTTG